CCGCCGCTGCCCCGCGCTTGAGGTGAACATCCAGCTGCTGGGTGCCACGGAGGGGCTCCCCACCCATGGAGAAAAGCTGTGGCCCTCCCGGTGTCCCAGCAGCTCGGGACGGGCAGAAGGGTCCCAGCATGGCCAACCCTCCCATCGCTTGCACCAGCTGCCCTGGACACGGGCGCTGTGTGCGGAACGAGAGGAGCTGGGCTGTGCTGGCACGGGGAGCCTCCGGGGCTCTCCGAGGTTTCCTCGGGCAGAGCCAGGGGCACGTGGCCCAGCGCTGCTCTCGCCCCGGCAGGACGCGCTCACCGGCCCAGAAAGAAGGCGATGTAGATGAGCGAGGAGAAGTTGGTGAAGAACTGGAAGGTGAAGATCTTCACGGTGAAGTTGTTCTCGCGCTGCGAGAAGGTCCGTGGTTCCTCTGGGGATAGGAGCAGAGCGCGGGGCCTTGTGTCACCAGCCGGCAGGGAGACCTTGCCCCGCTCACCCTGGAGCCCATGGACGGCTCCCTGGAGGTTGGCCTCCCTGGCCCTTCGCCTGAGCCCATCGTGCCAGGAGCCCTCGGAGGGGAGCGAGCCCAGCTCAGCAAGGGGCTGGGACAGGAGGGGTCCTGCCATCCGCCGGCTCTCAGCAGCCGCCCTGGCTCTGTGCTTCCCCGGGGCTCAGCCCTGCGGGCTGGCTGCCCCTCTGAAGCACAGCGAGGCCGGGGAGACAGCTGAGGGCAGGGGGATGGCCACGTGCCTGTTCACCTGCGGGAGAGACGTGTAAAGCGCCAGAGTAGCACGGTCGGGAGGAGAGCAAGGAGAAGGGCCCCGTTCCCTCGCAGCGTGCTCCGTACCTTGGTCATGATGACGATGGTGAAGTAGTGCAGGACGGCGCCTGTCAGCACGGCCAGTGTGTTGGCGTGCTCGCGGATGAACTCCGAGGCGCTCTGTGTGAAGAGCGCCATGGCCACCACCCGGTAAATGACCAGCGCGTGGGCGATGCCGATGAGCACGGCAATCTGCGGAGAAGGAGGGGAGGAGGGTGGCAGAGGGCTCTGCGTGGGGGGAAGCGCCCCGCCGGTCACAGGCAGCGCTCTTCAGAGAGCATCATCCCCGTAAGAGGCTTCGTAGGGCGGGCCTTTCCATCTGAACTACTTGGCCAGACTCCTTGCAGCATTCCAGGGGGAGACACAAGTGTCTAGGGGGCATTTGGCCTCTTTCTGCTCTGTGTGTGTCGTGGTGCAGGCTCTGGTGTGCCAATCCTCACAAACCTGTGTGCGTGGCACCCCCCAGCAGCGTGCCTGAGTAAGGCGCTTACCATGAGCAGAACCAAGAGGATGACGATGGTGCTGCGGAAGTAGGAGTGCTGGTACCGCCGAGGTTCGTGCAGGGGGTTATTGATCAGCTCCATAGCCAGTTCCTCCTGGAAAAATGGGAAAGAGAGGGTTATCGGAGCCGTGCCTATGTGCTGGCAAGTCCAGGGGTGGTTGTGCCGATGGAGAGTGTTGGTAAGTGTTTTTTCCTGCAGAGGTGTGTCCAGCAGGAACAGACTCTGGCAATGACCGTGGCTGTGTGGTTGTATATGCAGAGGCACTGCGGAGAGATCCAGGTGCCAGGACTGCCTGGCAGGAGAGACAGGCACTGACAGGGTTTCGCTCCGAGCGTTGCACCGGGAGAGGCTCCCAGCACCATGCCCTTCTCTCCTGAAAAGTCAAGTGATCTGGGGCACTGTCTGGAAGCAATGCCCATCTCCCTGTGGACTGATTGCTGCCACTGCCCTCTGCAAAAAAATGATAACCCCTCACTGCCAGCTGGCCATCCAGCAGATACCTCTCAGGTTGGGCTTCCTGAAAAATGCAGGTGACATTTTTCTGTGCAGGAGCTGCTGCCTGCTTTGGGAAGTAGCTTGCAGGCATGAGCTCCCAAGGCAAGGCAAGCCGAGCCACAGTGGGGCATGGCCCTGATGAAGTGCAAGCCCTTGTGCAGATGGGGAGGTGAGTAGCATTTGCTGCACTCTCTGGAGGGGTCTGCTCTGTCCCGCCAGGACTGGAGGTGAGGGGGCTGTGTGCTGTGTCTCTTCTGTAGATCTTGCCTGGAAAGAGAAAAGCACCAAGCAGGAGAGATGACATCCTCACCTCATCGTCATCCCACTCGTACAGGTTCCACTGGGTGACCACGGTGGCCCTGTGTCTCTTCCACAGCTCCAGGAACGCAGTGGCTGCAGGTGAAGAAGGGATCGCTCAGAGAATGATGCCCAGAGTTGGCTCTGGAGAAGACACTGCCCCTCCGTCCCATAAAGCAGGTCAGAGTCACTTCACACGCGTTGACACCTACCCCAGATGGCCATGACCATGGCGAACAAAACTGTCCCCTCGTTGTCAATCATGTGAGCGATCTGGAAAAGGAGGTCAAGGAAGAATGCGATGTGGGGGCAGCTGGGTGTCAGGGCTCTGCCATCCTGAGCTCTGGGGAGAAGACTGTGCTCACACAGTCCAGGCAAGTGGGTCTTCTTGCCAACCCCATCCCACAGAGACTGTAGGAGGGCAAAATGCAGGGAGGCGGGGGGCACTGGAGGCTTGTGAGACTGCTGTAAACCTCCCTTTACCTTGGTGGTGTTGGAGGCCTCGTATGGCTAATATACGTCCCTGTCATTACAGCGTTAGCATAGCCGCATTTCGCAGGTGGCTTTTGTTTCCAGTATTGAGGGTACTGCAGAAGCTGGAGACATTTGCATGTCCTTTGCCCTGGGCCTGTCTCAAGAAGGGCACTACCTACCTTGGCATAGGTGCAGGTGTCGGAGAGCAACCAGAACGGGCACTTCTGATCACAGAGCGGGCACATGATGGTGGTGTTGGCTTTGCAGATCTCCTTGCTAGGAAGGGAAGCAAAGGAGAGCAGCGACGGCTTGGCGTCCGCTCAGGGCTGCATACCCAGAGGGGTCACGAGCGGGGTGCGTGCTCAGCATCCCCGCGTGCCTTACCTCACCTGGCTGGAGCTGAGCGCTGTAATCCCAAACACAAAGATGAGCGTTCCGACCACGGAAGCGATTCCCAGCAGGCAGGTGTACCAGCCCAGCCAGGCGAAGTACAGGGCTATCTTCTCACCGAAGTAACTCCTGGAAAGAAAGGCTGGGGGTGGGATAAGCTTCAGAGGTGGTGGAGGGCACCGTGCAGGGCCGGGCATTGCAGCAGCACGTCCAAGGTGACCCCCAGGGGGCAATAGCTGGGTCTCCCTGCACGTGGCTCTGGGCGATTGTGTGAGGATGCAGCAAGGAGCACCGTGGACATCGCTGCAGCACCATAAAGACCTGCTCAGAGAACAGCTTCAACTGAGAGGTGAGCTCAGAGCGGAAAGCACCACGAGGCTGTCGCAGCCTCAGTTGGCTTGGTCCGTAGTGCCCGATATGGGACATGCTGTTATGTGGGCGTTTGGAGAGGCCAGCATGTCTCAGAGCTCTCAGCAGACCAATTTCCTTTCTCTTTTCATCTCTCTCCCTGCAATTCTTTCATGGTCCCCCCCTCTTTCATTTAGAAACAAGAGCTGTGCTACTGTGAGTTTTAATATAGCTAGGGCATCCCCTTGCTGCCTTTAACGTCCCAGGTTCAGCCTCAGGCCAAACGTGATGCACTGGTGCTCTCCACACAGGAATAAAGGGAGTAGGTGGCTTAAAAGGAAACAGGCCAATTAAAAACAGCGCTGATGCGGGGGTTGTTTCATCCTGCTAAATTAGCAGATGGAGCTTGGTGCCACTGGATACCCCTTAGGCTAAGAATTTAACAGACTTCAGAAGAAGGCCAGTCTGTGTGAGAAGAGCCAGGTTCAAGGTAATGATGTGAGGGATGCCTGGGGGTCCTGGGAAGGCTGTGAAGCTCTCTGGGTTTCAGGCAGGGTGCCTCGCTGCGACCGCTTGGCTAGCGGGGTCAGCTGGGCCTCGCTGCCTGCGTTACCTGATATTCTCAATAGGCTGTTCATAACAGATGTCTCTCCATCGAGCCCATTTCTCCTTTATGAATAGTTTTTTTTCTTCTCTCTGGGGAGCGGAGGAGTTGGTCAGACAGGGGAACATGGGGGCAGTCTTAGTGCCCATGCCCAGGTCATGTTTACCGCATGCCAGGCCCCATTGGGTCCTGTCCTTCACCCACTCATCTGCTTCCTCAGCCTCCATAACCAAAGCTCTCCTCGCCCCAGCCCTGCTGCTCTGCTCCTTTTGGCTTTTTCCCTGAGGTTCCTGCTTGCTCGGCCTCACCTCGTGCAGTGGAAACGCCGTCTCAAAGACCTTCTTCTTCATCAGGTCACACAGCTTCTCTGAGAGCAGAGCGCAACGGGGAGGGTTAGCGAGAAGAAGCTTTGGTGTCTGCCCTGCATGCTCCCTGCCGGGCAGAGTGACCCCAAACCTTTTCTGAAGCCTTTGTGGGGGCAAAAGTGCCTGGGAAAGGCTGAGCTAGTCCAGAGGGATCAGGGATAATTCTGGCTGTCATACATTGCTGCAGGCTGCACTGGGGCTGATCTGGGAGCAAACCAGGCTGGCCGGCCCAGAGGGACAGCAGGAGCACCGGCACCCTGCCCCATCCATGTCCTGGGGTGCCAGGGAAGCACAAGCTGTCCTGGGAACACAGGGCAGAGGTGGCGGGCAGCCGGAATCAGGGATTTGGGGGCAGGAAATAACAGGATCTACTTGCTACTAAACCCAATCTACCAGCCTGTAGATGTAGCGACAAGTCGGCCTCTTTGGGCTGAACCCCAGTTCAAGCTGTGCATCAAGCTCTGCATCCATATACGTACCCTTACCGAGGTCAGGAGGCACCGTGTTATGCAGAATGAAGTACACGATCCGTATCCTGAGCGAGGAGAAGCGGGGGTTAAAGGCTGTTTGGGGGATGCGGACTAGCGGGAAAGAAGAGCCCCAAGACCCCAGGGCAGAAGGGGGAAAGAAAAGATGGCTTGGCTATGGACAGTGAGGAGCTGGCAGCTTAGCACCACACTGCAGTGGTAGGTGATATTCTGTGGAATGGGAATTCCAGGGATGCCTGGAAATGGGAAGCCTGTCAAGACCCTGAGCTGAACTGGAAAAATCAGTGCTAGTGTGGAGGAAGGGGAGCGCGAGGCGCAGGTAGGCAGGAGCTCCGCTCGGTACCCACCTGGTGGTCACTGGCACATTATGCTGGTCACTGGGGCTTTGCAGCCTGCTGTCCGGGCTCCTCAGGAGCCATTGGTATTTCTGGAAGATCCATTCTGGGGCACGCACCCCATGAAACAGCTTCTTGTCTTCAATTTTCTAGGGGGTGGAAGGGAAGAGAAGGGCTGTTAGAGTAGCGCTGTCCGAGCCAAGGGCCTGGCCAGAGGGACTCGCACAGAGCGGCAGCAATCTGGATGGAAGCAGAGGCAAGAGGCTGGAGAGCTCCATTTTCCGGGAGAGCAGGGTGCTACAAGATACCCCGGGATCAGCTTTTCCCTCCCATGGCCCCTCACCTTGATGGTGAACCCCTTCTTGCTCAGCTCGTCCAGGAACTTCTTCCTCTTGATCTCCTTCTCGCTGCCCATTTCATGGATGTCGCTCACAAGGACAAAATCCCACTCCGGTTCGCCCTGCCCACAGGAAAACGTAGGGAATTAACGGAGGGAATTCCTCGCAGCCTCTCAGGGTGGATCTGGGGGAAAAGGGTGGTTTGGCATCTCTTCCCCCATGTTAGAAGGTCCTCAGGGACTGGAAGTGAGCGGGAGAGTGAGGATGGGGAAACTGAGTCAGCCCGTGGCTGTAAGGTCCTCCCTTTTCCCCTTGTGGGAGCTGTACTGAGCTCTGTGTGAGTGCAGAGGGAGCCAGACTTACCAGGGCAGGCGGCTCCAGATCATCTTCAGACTCTCTCAAGGGAGTCAGCAAAATTTCATCCTGTGGAAGAGAAAAGCAGAGGAGGCTTCAGTATGAGCCCTGGGAGATCCTGGGTCTGGACTTGGAGCAAAGTGTCCCTGCAGGCATCTAGGAGGCCCTGTGACCACCCAGATCAGAGTCTTACCCCACTGCTGGAGCAACTGGACCAAGCTGCTCTGCTCCAGCTGCTAAAAGCAAGCGAGAAACACTCCTTTTTATTTATTTCTTTTTAGTGGTGCGTGGAAACCTGCCTCTGATAGTACAAACAAGCATTTTGCACTCTTGCCTGCTGCCCCAGCACATGGCAGGATGCAGAGGCTCTGGGAGATGCTCTGAGCTCTGCAGCTCAGGCCGCTTGGCAGCCGTAGAAGAAAGACACCCTGCGAGGGAGCAGGGACAGGAGGTACTTGGGCATACCCGGCCTGGCTGGCCTGGAGGCAGGCGGAGCTGTGTGGCTGGGCAGCATGGACCCGCCAAGAGGGATTTTGGCCTGTCAGCCAAGCCGTGAGGTTGGATAAAACTGCTGGAGAAGAGCAGGGTACGTGCCAGCGCCAGCCCCTTTTCCTTCTGGTTTATGTGAGGAAAAGGCTCCAAAATAAGGGCAGGTGGGACTGCAGGCCACCCTGCCTTTTGGGGGCAGAGGTGATTCACGTCTGTTGCACAGCTGTTTGAGAGGAGATGAATCCCTGAGGATTGCAAAGGGTGTTTGAGAAGCAGGTTCACGGCGTGGCCCCATAGACAGTTATGCTGCCGTTCCCTGGGGCACGGTGACGCAGCTGCCAGGGGTGGCGATATCGGCAGTCAATATTGCCATCCGAGTAGGAGTCCCAGGAGAGCGGCCGGACGAGTTGATCCAGCCGTCACCTCCGGAGAAGAGCGCCCATGGTGCAACCCAGCCGTGCAGGGAGCTCTGCATCCCACGTTCTCCCTGGAGAACTAGACCCTGGGAGCGGAGCGGAGCAGGATGGGGAAAGGACTGAAATGCTGCTCACAGCGCTCGAATGTGGAGCCCTGAGCTCACCTGGAGCGAAGGGGCCCTGCAGCCTGGAAAGCCAAATGGGGAAGGTTAAAACCGTGCCAGGAAGGCATTTGATCACTGGGCGAAAGGAGGAGAGCGGGCTGCCTTGCTGCTTGCCGATGCGCCGCGCTTGGCGAGCCTTGCTGGGAGAAGCCGGCGGCTTGGTGGGCTTCCCCTCCGAGGTGCTGCTAGGAGAAGGAACCTGCAGCAGTGCTGCCCGCTGATGCTGGCACGGATCTAGGTTGGCATCACCTCTGCTGCTTGTGTTATTTCATTCCCGCCCAGCTGGTTTCTCCCAATCCCTGTACACACCAGCCTCATGCCACGAAGATGCTGCTCTGGAAGCCGCTTTTAAAGCTGCTTCTGAGCCTCCTTTTCCTTCGAAGCTTTGGGTGAGAGCGAGGAGACCCCTGCCCCAAGAGGCGTCCTCATCTCCCTTCCTCATAACTCACCAGCTCTGCGTGCAGCCATGCAGGGAGGCTGCTCCACACCACTGGCAGCGCGAATGTCCCATCCCCACCAAGAGCTTCCGAGCGCTCCCGAAATAACAGGATATGCCTTTAACGCCAAGAGGGACTCATTACTTCCCACTCTTCTTTAGCAGCTTGGCAGGCTTTTCTCTCTGCTCCGTGCAGGCAGAGCTTGGCTCCCATGGGGTGGTATCAAACGCGGACTCTAATCCTTGCTATCAAGGAGGAAGGTGGAAGTTTAGCTTTTTCCTAATCACGTTTGGAGCGGGAGCCATGAGGCGGGAAGGTGGAACAGAGGAAATGTGTGTAGTGAGAAGCAGGAATTTCAATGCAGGAAGAGTCTGCCTGCCCTACGGAGCACCTTGCTTCTCTCCCGCTGTGGCTCGTGCCTCCTTGGGAGACCATAACACCTTCATACCTCCCCTTGGCTCCTGCCTGGGGGGGAGTTATTCCTTAGGCCACGGGCCTGACCAGGAGGCAGTATCCTGGTTTTCCTTTCTAGCCACACCTCGAGGAGGGTTTTGGGTGGTTGCTCTCACCCACGCTGAGAAGATCAGATCATTCTCTTGGGGATGCTTCCTACCACTGCCTCCCGAGCCCCGCTCCCTTCCCTCGAGCCCTTCCATCTTGTGTCATCGCTTCCTGAGAAATGTGATCATCGCTGATGGAGAAGACACCTGTACAATTATGTTAGGGAGCCCACAAGACCTTTTGAATAAAAGAAATCTAATGTTTTTCTCTTCTTTCAAGCCACACGAGCACAGCTTCCTCAATCCCTCTCTCCCGTTGTTTTATTTCATGGCCTCTAGAAGCACCCGAGAATGCTACCAGGAAAGGCAGTGCCTTGTCCTGCGGAGGTGAAGTTCTCATGTCTCGGTCTTCGCTTGGACAAGAGGGCTGGGCTGGGGGGAAATCTCCCTCTGTCTTATGCTCTGGCACCGATATCTGGGGCCGTGAATAGCCCTTCCAACCCGGCTGCACCGAGAGGTGCTGCGGCATGCTCATCCCTCGGACACGGGTCCTGGGCACGTTCCTCGTGGCACATCCCAGTAAGAACTTCTCGCTGGGAAGAGGAGCTGAGCACCCTTCGGATGCTGGAGTCCCCAGGGAGCCCCGAACCCACGTGGTAGCGCAGATCGTGCCATGCTGCCAAGCCGCAGGTGGTGCAAAATCCCTGGTAGGTGATTTCTGTCCTACCTGCATTGCGAAGCGGAAGGTCTCTTTCTCGCTGGCCCCTTGGCTCCTCTTGGCGGGTCTCTGGGGAGCTGCCCGCGGGGCAGAGGGGCCAGGGTTTGGCCGCTGAGCGCCCTTTGCTTCCCAAGCTCCGCGGGCTGATGTCTCGTGTGAGGCGAGCGGCGACCTGACTTCCGCGTGGGACACTGTCCCGCCTCGGGAGGGAGCTGCCTCTGCCTGGCGAGGAACAGAAACCAGGAGGAGGAGGAGGCGAGAAGGCTGCCCTTCACCCTTGCTCAAGGAGTGGCAAGCCCAGTACCGCCCAGCGAGATAGGCAGGTAACCCTTGGTGGGCAGCTTTCGCAGCTCCTGCCAAGCCTCTGGCTTGCTGGAAACACTTCAGGCCCCCTGGTCTTCCCCCTTCCATGATCTACCAGGAAAACCTTGCTCCCTGCAGGGACCAAGTGGAGGCAGGGAAATCCTTCCTTGCCTTCCTTCGCCACTCAGCAGCTAGCAAAAACATCGCCAAAGTCGTGCGTTTTTGCTCCGGCGTGCGAGACACCTTGTGCTATGGCATGTGGGGCTTCCTCAGCCGCTGTCAACAACTTGGGGAACATCTGCTGGGATTTTATAATCCTTAAGAACAACTATTCCTTCCCCGAGGGCTGAAGAGGGAACCACCAAAGCGTGCTCTGAACGTCGCAAATAGCAGCAGCCTCCTGCCTCCCTGCGCTTAAAAATCTTGTCGCTCTTAAGCGGATAGGATTTACTAGGGTAGAATTACATCAGCTTTCCTGGTGGGCCCATGACCTTTGTGTCATGTCCTGAAAAATCACACCCAAGTCGCCGTGTTGACAAGGCTTGAAGGGCCTCCCCTCAGGGCAGTTTGTGCAGCCGGCCGGGTGAGGACTCTCTTTATCCCCTGTAGCTCTCTGTGAGCATGGGAGAAAGTATGTGCGTCCGTGTGAGAGAACGAGGTCTCCTAACGTAGCGCTGAAGGCGCTTTTGGCATCTCCTGCCACAAGGCCAAAGACCTTTGCAGCGTGGGCGCTGCTGGGTTAAACCGAAACAGGGTTGTAAGGAGGTGGGACAGCCACGTGGCTCTGCCTACACATCTGTCTTCCACCTGCAAACTTGGCCAAGGAGGAACAGGAGGACTTTGCTCTCCAGAGAGGCCAGTAATTGAACACGGGCACCAGCTGCTTTGAGTAGAAGTCCCTCAAGCTCGTAGCTTTGCTGGCTGGTGTGGAAGGTGGATCTGTGCCCACAGGCTGGCCATTTGCCCAAGCTGCTGCTGCCGGGGCAGGGCGGGTGGTCAAATCCTACTGCACTGCAGTATCATGTTGGATTGATAAGCTCAAGCCACATTGGGCAGTGGTTGGGCCTCAGTGAAGCAAGATGGCATTGAAGCCGTCTAGGAGCACTTGTGTGACCCGTTAACCCTAGCCGGAGGCAAAAATGGTAATTTCCATCAGCGAGGTGGTAGCAGACTGCTGAAGGCTTTACTATGATAAACCACTTCAGCTAGAAGGAGGGTGCCTGCCCTCAGCCCTCCTCGTAAGGAGGCTTTCAACGGTGAGCGCCTGCTCCGAGCGCATGGAGGCTGTGCTGCATGAAGGCATCCCTTGTTTAGGATGGTGATAAAACAGTTATCTGCTCTTTCCAATCCCCAAGGCACTGTTTTTTTTGTTTTTGTTTTTGTTTTTGTTTTTTTCAGAACTCAGAGGGCATTGCCTTCCTGTATATCTGTCGAGAAGAGCATGAAAGGAGAAAGATCCCTTGGAAGGTGTTTTTAAGAACGAAAGCACAGCTTTCTGGTTAGCGGGGCTGTGGTCCCTGGAGTGCCTTTATGTCACTTGTGGACTCATTTTGAGCAGAGCTTCTTCATCCTGCCCGGGTATCTTGTTATTCCAGCTGACAGTCTACACAGCCAGCTCCGCATATGTGTTCCCAGCACCAGAGATACTCTTAGATACCACAAAGATTTGGAGTCTGTCTGTGTAGTCTGAATGGGACAAAATGGCTGGAAAACGAAGGAAAAAAAAAAAACTAGGAGCTTTCCGTGTGCGTTTATTTATTTGTTTATTTATTGTCCTAATTTTGAAGACATTAAAGTCCAGTTTGAAGTATCCAGGAGAATCTGCTCAATGAAATGGGCAGAAGAGAATTTGTGTTAAGCTTGAAGCCTACCTGCTCTCAGTGAAGGAGTAAAGACGAGCATTGTTTGGAAGCTGGTGATGTTGAACAAGTGCTTGTTGAACCTTTTAAACCTGGAGATTGCTTGTAGGGCATATGTTTCTCAGCAGCTAGTAAAAACCCTGCTAGAGACACTGTGAATGAGAAAGATGGCCAAAAACCTGAGCCTGGCAATAAGCCTGTGTTGGGCCTGAACGCATCCCAAGCTGCTGTCTTCTAGCTCCGCCAACTGTGCTTTGGGATTTGCTTGGGAATTTCGCACTACGTCATGAGGGCGGGCAGAGAGCACAGCCCTCAGCTGCTGATGCCAAGGGCCATTTTGCCCCAGGTCTGTGTAGCAGCACAACTACCTGCATTCCCTCTAAAGCTCAGGCGCATCTATCCAACTTGGAGGCTGTTTAGCTAGAGACCCTGAGAGCTCAGGGCTCCTTTCCAGCGGCCATGATACGGCTCAGCCTGTGGAAGGAATTGCTGGGCTTCCCCCAAGGTGCCATTCACAGGACAACAGCGCATCCCTTCCTTAGAGTTTTGACCTGTCCCAAAGGCCTGAAGTCACCGTGGTGGATGTAGGTCAACAGGCAGAAGGAGATGAAAGTCCACAAATGACCAAGAGGTGGCTGAACCTGGCTTGGTGACTGCCGGCAGTTGCAGCATCACCTTCGCCATCATCAGGTTTTTCCTTCACGTTTTGCCTATGTCTGAGCTCTAGGCTGCCTCATAAAACATTGCCGAGGGAGTGTTTCAAGTTGGCAGGGGACTCTACAGAGGCCAGGGTTATCACTGTCCGTCTGTACACCTGGCTTTTCACAAGGGACAACGTTGCACCTTCTCAGGGAGTCTTTGCGCAAATCCTTTTCACTCCGATGCAGCAACTGCTCAGACAGGGGCTCCCTTTGCTAATGAAGAAAGCAAGCAAGCAGCAGCGTGGCTTTGCCAACGCAGCACGGCTCTTTTTTTTCATATAGAAACACATGACTTCAATGGAGCTGGTAGCCGCAGGCAGCTCCTGGGGCAGCCCCGAAACCCGCACGCTGCCTAGCTGACTGCTGCCATCGTGTGGCCAGCCCCTTCCTTTACAGCCACATAGACATTTTCTCCCAGTTTTTCCCCCCCTCGACTTTCCTTTCTTTGCTGCTGCCGGTTCCTCTCCTAACAGTCTCACGTCGATGCCAAAAGACATTTTGGAAAGCGCCGGACGGTCGGCTGCAGGGAAGAGACCCCGTGCTGGGGTTGGGATTAAATATACAAATATGTTTATATATACAGCAGGCTTGAGACACAGGGTGGCACGAGGGGCACTGGCAGCTTTCTCTCTAGATGTGGGGTATTTGTTTATGTTCCAGAAAACTTTTTTTTTTTAATGTGAGTTTTTACAGCTTTCTTTTGTCCCTGTGTAATGCAAGGAGCCTGTCTAAAGCGAAGCCACTTTCTTTTAATGACAAAAAAATCCTTTCTGGCAAGAGCCGCAGAGACAGCGGATTCAACACCGCCGCCCTCTGCAAACGCGACGTGGCTGTCCTCGGGACACGGCGCTGTCCCCTCCCGGCGGAAAGGACATATTTTTAAAGCACATTAACGCCTCTCCTCGTGCCTCCCCGGGCAGCAGGTCTCCACTGAGGCGAGGAGGTGCCTCTGCGTTTCCAGGGCGGCGGAGGAGGAGGAAGGAGCAGGGATGAAGAAGGAGGAGGAGGAGGAGCGCGGCCGTTGGCGCAGGCGGC